AGAGAATATGCAAGGGCAAGGGTGGGGTGAGGGGTGCAGACTCCAGTGGAGTTCGCAGCCCTTAGGAGTATCAGGGAACAAGCTGGAAACAAAGGAGATGGTAGCCAGAGACTGAGATGGGGGTGTCATTGCTGGAACTAGCAGGATCAAAGAGATGATCTTGGGACTCAGTGCTGAGGAAAAGTGGAGAAGTTGTCACACATTTCTGAGAAGGGATCATCTGTGTAAATGCTGAGGATCAGCAAGCGGTAAGACAGCATCATGCCAGCGCCATAAGCTGTGAGCCATGAGGGGAGCAGGAGGAAAGTGTTTGAGTCCAAACTCGACTTTATAGGGACACAGAGCTATTGTTCACCTGCCTGCTGTAGGGCCCTGGTGACTCCAAGGTAAGCTATTGTCCCAACCTGCAAGGATCTGAGGGACATTGGTAAGAATCCCACAAAGGTGTGTGTACCTGAAAAAGAGCAGAGCAGTTAGGGAGGGATGTGTGGGGAAGAGGGAGGAGATGAGGTATCCCAGAAGCCTTCACAGAGAATCTGGTGCTGATCACAAGAGCAGAGCCACTGCCTGCTGTGTACCAGCCCATGAGTATCTTCTGTACCTGATTCTTTGTGTCTCTGCTCTCTGGCTCTCCTCCCCTCCCCCGTCGTCTGACTTGTTTCCTGTCTGTATCTTATGGAGTCACTGGATTTCAGAGTGGAAAGGGGCCTCAGAATTCTCTGACCCTGAGGAAGTTGAGGAACAGGTATCCTCCCTTGTCTTTGTTGATGCTTCCTTCTGTTGATATTTGTCATTCCTTCTGTGTGTTTGCAAAACTGACACAGAAAGGCAAAGTCACATGGAGACAGGTAGCTCTAATAGCAGCAGAGGGAGCCCCCCCCCCACTTCCCCAGAACATTCTCACATGAAGAATAGGGAGGCAGGGCTCTGGGGAGAGTGGGGTGGGGGTCCAGATGTGACCTGATGTCCCTTCACTCTTCTCTGGAGCCTGGGCAGAATCCTAAAGTCTAGCCAGAGTGCCTTGAGATTAGGGTTGGAGAAGGCAGGTCATGGGCATGCCCTGGGATTTAGTGATTGGGGCCAGGTCCTAGTGTTCCTGAGAACACAGAAATGGCAGGGGTCTTTCATCAGCCTAAGAGCTTAGCACAGTTTCTCTCTCCTCTCCTCTCTTTCTCTCTCTCTCTCTCTCTCTCTCTCTCTCTCTCTCTCTCTCTCTCTCTCTCTCTCTCT